GGGGCAAAAATATACAATTAGATTTGTCAAGAAACAGAACATTCAAGATGACCAAGCACAGTGAGTGATTTTCCATATCTGCTATCTAACAGCCCCTCTTGTGATTGGTTCATTAGCTTGTCCATAAATTGACTATTTCTTAACAATCAATCCTATATATGAGCAAAACACTAACCTTTTAAATGAAGCTGTTTAGAGAAAATCTGAGCAAAGAATATCCCTGCAGCTGGGGTGGAACTGCAGGCCTCTTTTGTACGCCCAGTTACCAGCTGCTGGGGAGAACATGAATCTATGGTATGGCTATTGTGTTTAATGTCACCTATGTCTAAGCATAGTTAGTTGGGAGTTCATAGTATGTCTGTGTGTGTGTGACTGTGAGCAAGGGACGTGAACTCAGGTGCTGGTACATAGGTGCCAGCAGTTAGGGAGAGTGGAATCCAAGGGCAGCCACTGGGCAGGTTAAGTGCTTGGGTCCAGCTGCTGCGGGTACACACCTTGTACACAGAAATGTATATATTGCATATATAATGCATGATTTAGTGGAGAGTTGTTAGAGTTACGGTAGTATGGTTAAGTTGTGGTTGGACTCGATGATATTTAAGGTCTTTTCCAACCTGAGTGATTCTATGATTCTGTATTTCCTACTAACAGACCTTCATCCTGAGCAACCAAAATGGGGGAGTAGGATGAGGCTGTTGGTGCTGTTTGTGTTTGCAGGTGAGCTGAGTGTGCCTGTTTACGCTGTCTGAGGTGGCCAGCTATGTGTGTATATATGTGCTACAGTTGGCTGTTTGTGCATGTGCTTACCAGGAACATGAGCTCAGTGCTGCTACTGGTTGGACCTGAGGCTGTGGAGCTGTAGCAACCTTACCTCTGCTGGATTACTGAATTTGGCAACCCCTGGCATATAAAAGTCTTTTATGCTCATGCTTCATCATACATTCATAGATGCTGATCTATTGATACTGATGTTGCATGCAGTTATCCTCTATCCCATGCAGGACTGTACATTTCTTCTTCCTGGTCTGCACAAGGTTTCTGTTTCGCAGTCCTCACGCTTCTCAAGATCTCCCTGACTTGGAGCTCTGCTGTTTGTCATTTCAGCCACTCTCTCATAGGTTGGTTCATCTGCAGATCTGCTGGGAGTCACACTGTTCTTCACCACTCGGGTCATTATTGAAAATACTGAACAATGTGGGAACCATCCAGCAGTTGGATATTGAGCTGGCTACTGTCCGGTGGGCCTGGCTACCCAGCTGACAAAATTAACTGCTTTAGTAAATACTCAGCTTCTAAACAGGAACGGTGGGGAAGGTTTTCACCTCCCCAATGTCGGTGTAGCACAGGAAGCTTATCTGAGTAGTGTTTAAAGCCTCTTTTGTTCCCTGTTCAACTCCAGTGTATGGAGATCAAGGTACCACTTCTGCCAAGCTCCTTGCAGTTACTGACGCATTAAGGCAAAAACAGGAACACACAAAGATGTATGTCTTCCTGGGAGCTGATAAAATGCTCTAAATGGCAGAGCCAAGTCAGGAATAGCTTTTGTCTCTGGCTTTCATCATTGTTATTCCTCATTAATACTCAAAATGAAATTCCACAAAACAGCCTTCCCTTCCAGCCTCTCCAACTCACTCAACCAACTGGGCAGAGCAGGAGCATCACAGACTTTGTTTTCTTCCTTGACACTTCTCATTGCAAAATAAAAAAACTGATAGCATTTAGCATTGAACAACTGACAAAGCCCTCTACTGCTGACATGCTGGGGCTTGTTCTGGGACCTTTTCTTGTCTGCCTTGGTAGTCCACACATGGCAGAAACTCTGACCTAGAGAAGAAGACTGTCCTCACAGGTGCTACTGTGACTTGCAGTATTTACTCTAGGCAGTGCTTACTGGGAACTGGGAGCTGTGGTGCAATAGGTAGCCAGTTAATCCACATCTGTGCGCTGCCCTGATAAAGAAACTCAGAAGAGTATTTAACTGGATTTCACATTTAACTGAAATTAGATAATGCAGCTTATGTTTCAAGTTAGCACTGTATCAACACAGGCACCACATGCTGGAAGATGACATTATTGCTTGATGGAAAATAAAAAACAGTTTGTAATCTGCACTGTTTCTCTCTCTTTTTTCTTTTTCTTTTTTTTAAATCTCTTTTGGTATGTATATGAAATAAAAACATTCAGGAAAATTAGCAGGATTAATGCTGTGGTACACAGACTTCATATTACCTACAGACTATCGGCTGCTCTGCATGCTCCGAAGCCCAGCTATCCTCTTCAGACAGAGGGTGGTGACGCACTGGAACAGGTTGCCCAAGGAGGCTGTGGATGCTCCATCCCTGGAGGCATTCAAGGCCAGGCTGGATGTGGCTCTGGGCAGCCTGGTCTGCTGGTTGGCGACCCTGCACATAGCAGAGGGTTGAAACTTGATGATCGTTGTGGTCCTTTTCAACCCAGGCCATTCTATGATTATGATACAGGAGCAAATAAGATTACACTTTGCAAATGACTTGTCTACACTGAACAAGAAGTGAACGTTATTGTGGTGGCAATTCATCTAGTGTGAAGAAGGAAAGAAAGTACAACTACTTCACTTTTATGGACTTCTGCTAATAATCCTTTTAAAAGTAATTAATCAAGATTTAAAATGTCTCCCTTCCAAAATATTGTGCAACAGTTTCAGTTTAAGAAAACTGCTGAATGCAATCAACTTTTGCCCACAAGTGCAATACAATTATTTTATTGCACAATTTTATTTTTAAAAACTTGCATAAACTCTTGTTTCATCAGGAGCAAATAGCTATGAAGAAAAGCTGAGAGCAGCAGGAATTTGGGTTTCCTTTCAGAGCCACCACCATACCAGTGTAAGTCCTGGCTCCACATGGCATCCAGTTCTTGCTCACCTGTAGTAAACTAAATTTTGGTGGTGGGAAGCACTGCTATATGCAACTATAGAACATCAGTTACATACTTTGTTTTATATAAGTTTACCTTTATATAGAAATTTGTCTTGTGATTTCTACATGGTTTGTTTTTTTTTTAGTTTTGTTTTTCTTTTGAATGTATATGGTCCAGTTCACATAGCAGTTATTTCAATACAACTTTACTACTACCACAGTTCTCAAGATCTTATTTGGGACAATGAACTCACAGGTACAAAAGTCTTGGCCACCCTCCACAAGTTAGAACAAGGACTGCTAACAGTAAAGTAATCAAGCCAGATGCCACAAACTGTTTTTATGAGTAGGGATCTTCTCTGGGAAAGATGCAGGTAATGTGAGTAGAGATGTCTGTTAGAGATTATGATAGCTATTTACTACCTCACAGAGAGCATACACATTTCCTCCTGGAAACAGCAAACCAGAATTCATTTTTACACTGTTTTCTTTCAAGAAAGACCTCTCAATATCATATTTTCCTGCAAATAGACAAATTCTGGCAAAGATCCTGAAATGGGAGGAGAGTACAAATGAAGTATTACAAACAAAAAAGGAGCAGCATTCAAATAAAAGGTCTAGAATTTGCCCAGAATGATTGTATAATTTTCACCAGTGGTGGTCACCTTGCTGTATTGTATGGTATGTGAGAACAAACTGCCTCAACTACAGTTCTGTACTTCAGTTGTGGCAGGTTGCAGCAGTGTAATTAGAACATTAAAAAAGCAGAAGATTGTTCTTTGTTTACATTTTGATTTTAATATTCCAGTTAACTAGAACACCAGTAATCTCCTCGGAGGACCATGTGTCTCAGATCTCTACTCTGCTACAGGCAAACCATAAAAGCTAAACTTTTAATCAATATAAATATTTAGCAGCATAGAATCAGAGCAAAATTGATGCATCAGTAGAAATTTCCTGCGAACTACAATAGAAGACTACCACCTATAAATAGTTACACATCTCTTGAATCTTCACCTTTTCATTAGAGGGAGTAAACAAGGAGGGATTACAGATTAAGTTGCTGTAGCCAAGTCATTTTTTATTGGCTGTTTGTTACTGTTTGTAAAAAAGCATTAGTGCTTTTTTAACTAAACCCAAAAATACAAATATTAGTTCACTGTAAACCACGCAAGTACTTAAACACTTAGATTACATGTTGATGCATTTTGCTCTTCTAAAAGGGATACTGATAGCTGGAATTTTTGGATACCCATATTTAAGAACTGCCACAAGGATGCAATAGGGCTTACAATAATATAAAATGAATAAAATATATCAGAGCAAGAACTAATATTGATAAAACAAGAAACAAGCCCTATGATTTTCCATTTTTTTTTTAAATATAAAATAATTTAGCTCACTATCAATAAGAAAAGGCTTTTTTTTTTAAAAAAAAAAACAAACTACATAGTAAGCAAAATCTACAGAATATTAAAAAGAATCATTTATCCCTAATAAATAATGCCCTCTAAAATAATATTGAGCAGAAAACACATGTTGAGTATTATTTGAGATGGCTATGAAATTTGAGAGGTAGATGTTTAAAATCAATCAGTTACTTGGGAAAGGCACTGCTATGGCTATCAATGTAAACAGCATTAGGTTTTATCTCTGTTTTGTTCATATCTGCACAGGAGTGCAGAGGAGATGAAGAACATCTCTCATCTCACAGTATCTGTATTCATTTAATGTCTTTGGTCTGCATCTGATCTCCTGAAATGGAGGGCAAAGGGAAGAAAGAATAAGAAAGGCGATCAAATCAATCCCACTGGTGTATGTAGACAAGTAGAAAACTGAACACAGCAGCCAGATTGTACACTGAGGGTGACTGTGTCATAGCACAATCCTCAGATGAGAACACCACAAAACTATAGGCTGAAACTGAAGCATCAGAAATCCTGTACAACAGTTTCCATGATATGAATTCAGATGTCTTGTCTTATGTACTCACGGTGGTGATGTGCCACTGCAAAAGCACTTCTGTTCCTGTTCACCATGCCCACTGAGTTTGGGGTCTTCATTACAAGGAAAAGCAGTAACAAACAGCACTGATACAAAGGCTTTGTCACAGTGATGAGAATACATTAGCTGGGTAACACTCATGAAAAGTGTTACTTGTTCCAAGAAGTAACCATTTAAAAATGCTGCTACCATCAGAACCTGATGGTATTTAGGTAATAAACTAATAGACAAATGGAATCACAATTTTTCTATTCTTTGGGTAGTCTTCAAATTTCTCAAGGTACCATCTGAAAAAAAAAAAAAAAAAAAAAAAAAGAAGAAAAGTCCAAATCTGTTGAGTATTGCATCTTCAAAACACTTTCAAGGAAATTAAGTAACTGCACAACGCAATTTAAGCAATATGTATTTTTCAAATCCAAGCCAGAAAATAATGTCTTTAAAACCTACTCTAGATAGAAAACTGCTATTTACCACACTCACCCTAAGGAAATCTGATTGTGAGGTACAACAAAACAAAGCTACCACTTCCAACAGTGAGAAATCAAACTAGTAGTGCGATGAGAGCAGCCAGGGAAGAAATGGCCTATTGTAATAAAATGTATATTGTAATGATTCCTATTTGTATTTTAGAAGCAGAGGAAAAAATAATATCCAAGGCAATAAGTCAAATTTTATAATGACTACATAAGCAAGCATGATACTTTACACCTGGTTCTGGATAGAAAAACCCTCAGTTCCAGTCAGAGTTCACACAGTCAAACACTACGGTAGCTTTACTAGTTCCCTTCAACAACTAACGAACCAAACAAGAAAACCACATTACACTAACAGATGCTATTACATCACTTTATGGCAAACACATTTACTCCTGTTTAGTACTTATTCTGCTTCTCTAATATAGAAAAAAGTTAAATAATCTAGGCTCCTCAAAGTTGCAAGTGTTCACATTAACAGAAATTAACTGAAAGACTGAAGTTGGAAAAAGCAGAGAACAAAACTCTCACAATAATGCACAACTAATTTTGATGTTGTTGCTGGCTTACAGTTTCAACACTGAATAATGCACATTGCCTGTTTGCCTAGTGACACACAAGAGGAAGTTCTGTGACTTCTATAGAAAGCATGCATTGCATGATTACTTGCAGTTGTGTGATATCAACATTACGCTATTATATCATACATTACTTTTCAGTAATTTATTCCAAGTTTGTAAAATTGAAACTTGCTTAGATTTGCTATTTTTGCTTTTGCTTTTTCCCCACTTCACTCCTTTTATTAAAAAAAAAATATTGCTTCCCTTAATGCAAATTAATACCTTTAACAACCTTTAGGGATTTTCATAACACTCTAATTACAAAAACATGAAAGAGTTTTACCAAGGCTTAAGATACACAGAAAGAAACCATGGAATTTGAGTCCAAAGAACATAATAGATGAGGAAAGACTGAAGAACCTGATTGATTCCTTCCTCACCACTTGGGCTGCAGAGGAAGAGGACAGAGGGTTATTTCTGCATACAAGTACTGGAACAGGAGACCTAAGATAATGGAGTGAAAACCACAAAGAAAATGCAATTCCTTGCAGCTGGGATGCAATGGCTTCACGCCAAACTGCAGACTAGAGACTAACTAGTTGGGTACCAGCTCTGCACAAAAGGGGAAAGACATTCTGGTGGACAGGTTGAACATCGAGTTCAGCATGATGGATCCTTGCACGACAACAGCTAGCTGCATACTGAAGTGCTTTAACATGTACAGAGCCCCAAGTTAAGGCAAATGCTTATACACAACTATTCAACAGTCAATAAACCATATCTAGATTACTGCATCCAATTTTAGGCTTTCAGTATGCCCAAAAACTCAGGAAAAGTTCAGCAGATGGTCATCTAGACAGCTGTGTAGCTGGAACATTCAATACACAAGGAAGGGTTGAATTAACTAGATTTGCTCAAGTTGGAGAAAAGAAGTTTAAGTGGAGCATTTAATTGCAGTCACCCACTATCCACAGAGATATTAGAGAGAAGACAGAGCCATATCCCTCCTGGAGGTGTGCAGAAAATGGTCAAGAGACAGGGATAAAAGTTGTACCACAGAAAATTCCAGCCAGACACAAGGAAAAAGAATTATTCCCTATGTGAACGGCAAAGCTCTCAAACAAGATATTTTTCCTCAGAGGTGCTGGAATCTTTGTCCTCAGAGGGACTCTGAACTCAAATGTATGAAGCCCTGGACAACCTGATATAGCAGTGAGGTTATTAGCAGGTCAGAGCAGGTCTTCACAGGTCCAGAATGAACTACATTCATTTAATGAATAGCCATGACCACCTCATTGTATGTTGTGTGCTTATGCTTAACTACCCTACTGAAATCTTGTCGCGTTTAATACTACTCAGAATATTCTCTCATTCTCCACAGCAGTAACAGCTTTTCACTAGACTTGTTCTGCAACATCCCTGTGGTATAATTTATGAAATGGAAATGAAGTGTGAAACAGCAGAAATTATAAGACACAAACACTTACTGGTGGTGTTGCTTTGCCCTTGAACCCAAAATGAAAAGCGTACACAGTGCAAATGCAAGGCTTTCAATAGTGCAGCAGGCAAGAGCAAATCCAAACCATTCCAGGATCTCTCCGAAGAAGTTGGCTCCACTGACATATTCAAACATTCCTCCTGAAGGCAGAAAGGGCAGGATTACTTTAAAAGCACATTAATCAAGGAGATCTTTGATAGTACTTTCACTGCAAGTCTAAGACCACCCATATCATCAGTGTCTCTTCGTATATTTTTTAAAGCAGTAGAAACAGCGTTTTGCAGTTCAGGCTGTCTTATATGGGATTGTTTCAGTCTTCATTCTCCAGCTCCATTTATCCTTTAGAAATCACAGGGGGAAAAAAAAGCCAATATACTTAGTAACAGAAGTGACTTCATGCCTCCTTAAATCAGTGACAGTGACATCAAGCTGGCACTGACCATGAACTGAACTTTTTATTTTAAATAAACAAAAATTAAAAAGTAATCCCTTTTGAATAGTCTCATAAAATATCCCTATACTTCTTTAGCATACAATACTTCAATAAATTGAAGAAATTACGCATCTCAGGTAAATGATGAAAAATATTATTCAAAATTCAAGTTTCAAACTTGTCCTCTAGTTTAAGATGTGTTGCCCTTTTGTTCTTGCATCCTGTCAGACTTAAAGATCTTAACTACAAGTACTTCAACACTGACCCTCACAAAACAAAAATTATCAGTTTGTGTTAGGTGTATTTTACAGCCAATTAGGCATAAACAGTCAGTACTCACCCGATGGGAGAGTTATAAAATAAGAACTTTCACCCTAATTCCAAAGTTAACATACAAACTGACATCACAGTAAGCACCATGCCAATGGAACCAACCAAACAAATATTTGCAAACTGTAGTAAAGGACATGTTTTGACCTTGCTTTAATTACTTTGCTTTTGTGACAAAAAAAAGCAGAATTCCAGTGCTTAATTTGGATAAGTAATATTAAAAAAAACAACTCCTCTTGATCAAGCAGCAAAGAACATCTTTTTTCCTTCTGAACATTTCACAGCACAGTAGTATTCATTTGCAGTAGACACAAATCCAAGTGCCCATGTAAAGATAAAACTATCTTCTTGGTGGAAAAAATAATATGAACTCTAAGAAACCATTTCCTAAGGTAGACAAACTGTTTTTACAAGTTTCTTCTCAAATCATAACTTATTACCTCTAAAAAGATAATACCAAGCTTTAGAAGGTCACATTTACAGATTGGAATATCTATTTATGTTTGAAGATTCTTCTTGAGGTCATCTAGTGCAACTCCACCCTGTTTAAGCAGGGTCAACTACAGCTGGAAGCCCAGAAGAATGTCCAGTCAGGTTTTCAGCATCTCCAAAGATGGAAACTGCAGAGTCTCTCTGGGCAATCTACCCTATATTCTTTGACTACCCTCACACTTAGAAATAAATAGAATTGTGTGTTCATATAGGATTTCATGTGTTTCTTCTGTGTCTGTTGCCTTTTTGCCTGTCAGCAGGCACCACTAAAAAGAACCCGGCTTCTTTATCTTCACTGCCTCTCATCAGATAATTACATCTGTTGATAAGATCATCATAAGTATTTTCTTTTTCAGGTTGAACAGCCCCGGAACTCCTCCTGAAAAATGCTATACAGATTATTGATTACCTCTTGGTATCTTGTAACCAGTTTCTCCAGGTTTTCTCAGATTTCTGAGGATATGATCAGAATGAATATTGATTGCTATGCCGACCAGCCACCCCATGAAACCTGAAAAGAAATATTCAGAATATTAGTCTATAGTACACTGAGTGAAAATAATCAGAAAACAAAGTAACATAACATATTAGGCATGTTATCTCAAAGCAGTCATAATATAGTAATGTAAAGCACTCTAAGCGGTTCTAGTGACTCCATGGACAATCCCAGTTTCACACTGAGCTCTCAGGTAAATAAGGCTTGTAGCAATTTCTCTGGACGGAAACATTATTTTAAGTGTTACTCGTTCCTGCAGCAGACTGTTTTGTAATTAATAGGAATGAAAAAATACAGTAGATTCTCGTGCAAGACTGACAAAGATAATATCATCATACTCCTAGAAGTTTAGGGTAGGAACTTGGTAAACCTAGTCTTGCTGAGCATTAACAAACTCTGAGCTTGAAATTATTCACCAAATAAAAGGGGGAAAAAAAAAGAAAAGAAAAGAAAAGAAAAGAAAAGAAAAGAAAAGAAAAGAAACCATGTAGTTAAATATTATGGAAAAATTTCTGCTGTAATTTCTCAAATTCAGTACCAGGTTGTAATAGATTTCTCTGCAATCTAAACCAGAAATTTATTCTAAGATTACTGGAACTAAAGAATGAACGCTAAGACCCAATTTGCATAAAACTGTGGGCAGTTCCAGGCATCACAATATAGGAAGGACATAAAGCTATTAGAGAGCATCCAAAGGAGGGCTACAGAGATGGGGAGGTATGTGAGGATCAGCTGCGGTCCCTTGCTTTGGTGTTGTTTTTCTTTCGTTTTGTTGTTTTTTTTTTTTTACAGGCCAGAGAAGAGGAGGCTGAGGGAAGGCCTCATGGAGACCTACAGCTTCCTCAGGTTATTCACCAGAAAGTGGTTGAGCACTGGAATGAGCTCACTAGGGCACTAGTCACAGCCCCATGCTTCTGGAGTTAAAAAGCTATTTATTAGACAATGTTCTCAGACAAAGGTTGTGGCTTTTAAGTGGTCCCATATAGAACAAGTTGGACTCAATGGTTGTTGTGTGGTCCTTCCAACTCAGGATATTCTGTGACTTATTGTGAAGGTGAAATAAGGAGCTGAGAGAGGCAAAGGATCAAAACTCTCTACAAATTCGATAATTCTACAACTTAATACTGTCACATTCAAAGATGCACAGAACAAAGATAACTGATATCAGAGTAGCTTTTGCTTTAGTTGCGATCTAACTTCTACAAGACAGGAAAAACAGGAAAAAGCATACTTAGGTTAGCACTTAATTGGGATTTTTTTTTTCCCCATATTTGACTTGCTGTGAGTGTGTGTTTGGTAATACTAGCAAAAGGGATAAAGATAGTTGGTATACAGTAAAAAAAATGCATTAACCTAATTAGAAGGGTACATTAAACAGCTCTAAGTCATTTGGGAGTTCAACTATCTGAACAGAAACTAACTGAGGAGTCTGACAGGCTTGTCATTAAGAAAAAGAAAACCATGCACAACATCTTACATTAGTCAAAGCGTATAACTGCAGGAAAAAAAAAAAAAAAACTTTTAAATTTATTTTTTAAAGTTGTTAGTGTGTCGATCTTATCAATGTATCTGGTCTGATAAATTAATCCCCACAAGCCTCAAAGGCCTCCATGATGGCAAACGCTTGCCTTCACACAGCTGTTGGAATTCATTTTGCAAGATCAAAGACCCATTTGTTTGTGCTTGCTTTAAGCACATGCCATTCATTAAAAGATCCGCCAACATTTTAATTCAATAACAACAATAATTAACAGGCTGCTATCACTGCTGCTACTGGGGAACAGAAGCTGTTAGCAGCTTTCTCAGGAATACACTGTTTCTGTGAAGCTTCATTTGTAACCACAAATTAAGCTGTAAATCTTTTGAAAGCCAGCTTGAAACAAGCATCCCTTAACATTGTTTGAAATACATGCAAAGTGAGACGTATCCTATCCCAGTTCTAACTTAACAGCAGGCCTATGAAGTCCACTGAGAACTGTTCTGAGAAGCTATCCATTTATATCTTGTGGCACGCTGCTTTGAAGGGAAAGGAAACACGTACAATCAGACCAGACCTTTCTATACAGTATCTAAACAAAGTTCTGGGAAAGTTACATTCTGATCATCTTAGCGATCACATAATGAACATAATGAATAACCAGAAAGACATTGCCTCTCTTCCAGCCTTAGCTGCAAACAGGCACCAATCAACTTGTCTTTATTGACTAAAATACAGAACCATTCCTCCTGTTACCTTGTGGAGCACAGTTGCTAATCCCTCAGATTCAGAACTTCTGGCCCTGATGCAAGAACACATTTTGAGAAAACCAAGGAAACTCTAGGCTTGATGCACCTTATTTACTGTTATCTTGTGTCACTCAGCAGGATGGCTTACCCACTTAATCCAAGGTTTCATAGAAATAAAAACTGTAGTATAAAGGTTACAGTGTTCTGCATCCTCAGGTTTTGTTGCAATAAAGCACATGATATACCAAAAAAATCCAGGACTGAAATTCACAGTTTTCACCTTTCTGTTTAAATTTCTGGCTATCTGTCATCTTTGATAAAAGTATTCCTTAATTGCTAGGAATAGACAAGATTCAAGTTTTTCCACACAGGCCAATTGAATTGAACCCACCTGCAAAAATACTGAATTTTATTTGGATCAAGCACAAGGGCTGCTCTGACAGAAATGCCTTTTTATTACGTTGGTCCATGACATCAGAGAGATGATGGTATAGCAGCAGAGACTGAACTTTCCCCTCAATATCCCATTACATTTTGTTGTCATGCGACAGATGGCAGCAGAGGGGCAGTCTTACAGAACGGTGTCTGACATGGGAGTGCCTACAGAGCAGAAGTTTGTCAATGTATTCCTCCATGCAAAAAAAATGGCACCCATTGACATTCATCTGCACTTGCTGAATGTTCCTGGAGGCCAAACAGTGGATGTGTTCACAGTGAAGGATGGGTGGTGCATCTCAGCAAGGGTGACAGGTTACCTCTGCTAGGGTAGACTGTTAAAAGCATGGCATGCAAGCTCTTGTTGACTGCTGGCAAAAAAAATGCACAACTAATGGTGGTGACTGGGTTGCAAAATAATGTTTCGCAGCTGAGAATCTGTTTGATTAAGTAGTATTTTTGTATCTGTTATATTTCCATGGAAATAAGTAAGAGGCATTACTTTTGGAGCTTCTGAGCCAAGTCACTTCACACTCTAGATATAATTTTTGAGTGTAAAGGTAACACGTTAAGTCTTTCAGACTATTCTCTTTCAATACACAGAAAACCAAAGGAATTTGATTGCCAGCTTACTTTTCCGTTGTTGTCTGCTGCCTGCTTCCATGTTGATTAAGAAGAAAGATTTGACTGCTCTACAGAGAAACTAAAGTTGCTGTGTGAAAGTCCTTTCCATATTTACCTCGGTAAGTTTAAAATACTGCTTGATTGGCTTGTTTCATTCTGCTTACAAGCAGAATGTAGACCTGTAAACACGCACATCTCTTACTCATAGCACAGAGCAGAAAGTTTTCATTAGTAATTAAGCTATGTAAATGTTATATGTCTTATACTAAAACTTATCATAACCCTTTCAACTATAAACTCAACATAATTACTCAAGATAGATTAGATGCCAATATATTAGATCAACACAAGGAATTCACAGATGAATTCAAATATCAAGATTCAAAAGTACAGAGCAACTCAAATGTTTTTAGGAAAGCATATCATTTGAATGTCTTTTCTTTCAAAAATAAATCTCTATCCAGACAGAGGGTGTTGAACTCTTACTATACCTAAGTATAAAAAAACGTTTGCTTCTCTTGCATTAGTGGCTATGTACCAACTTGCTAATGGCCAGAAAAGAAAATGAAAACGTACCATGAAAAATAAGGGATGTTATTTGTACTATTAGACTAGTAATAGTCTACATTACTATGTAGACTATTAGATAAATAATTAGATTAGTTATTTGTACTATTAGACATGTGTCGTTATTTCTATCTATATGGTAATTTGAAATCAATTTTCTTGAATAGCACACAAATTAATTGTACTCAAGTGTAAACTGTATTTCTACTAATACAATCCAGTATTAACACAAGAAAAAACCTCTACACTGAAAGTTATAATCAGTTCCATGCTGATCTTCAATTTTAGAATTTAGAATCCTTTAGTTTTACTTAAATGCAAGTACAGTTCTGAGAATGCTGCCTTTTGGGAGCACTGTACTTCACTGTCCGTATTCTCATGTCCTCATCGTGGCTGAATCTTGAGACTCCACTCTACAAAATTAAGAGTTGGGCCATGATCTGCATGACTTGGCTTCTGCCCAAGGTAAGTCTTGATAGGTAAACAGGAAGGAGTCAGCGTACATCAGTAGGTTCTCAGATCTACAGGATGTGCCATGACATACGGATGACCTCTCAAGACACATGACGTGGGAATTGGAGTTGGACTTGATGATCCTTATGAGTCCCTTCCAACTCAGGACACTCTATGATTCAGAAGGATTTTTTCATCCATCGGTATTAAACCTGGAAATTAAGGCTTCATGTAATACTAAAACACGTGCATAAGAAGGACAGTTTCCTGTTTACTACGTGTTCATTGCTCTTGTTTTCCCAATCAGCTCTGCCCACATAGGATCTATCTTCCAAAAAAATGTACTCCTGCTCTGCAGGCTAATTCAGAGTGACAGCATGGTAAGTGCCCTCTGACTCACCTCCCCATTCCAGGTTTCAAGAATACGTAAAGCAAGTTGCTGTATAGACACAACAGCTAGGTCAGCTTCCATGGACCCAGATAATGGCATTGCCCATGCTCTTTCCATGGCTACTCTGTGTACAGAGCGGAGTAAGAACGTGTTGCCTGACTGACAGAGTTAGCTGTCAACATGAGAAAGCAATTGAATGGGGATTTAGATAATTAGAACAGCATAAGGTACACCGCAAGAGTTTGATGAAGCTAAAGCAAGGCAAGAAAGGAAGGATCTACTGACTGGAAGTACACGCAACTTTAGTAAGAACTGGTGTGAAAGGGTAACTGTCTGCAGATGACTGATCACACGTGCAGGTGCATAGGACCCTGTTAATAGCATCAACCACTTCAAGGTACCATGAGTACTCCCGCTTTTCACAAGTTCTTTATTGGCATGAGACATATGCATAAGGATCATAGTGTTGTTCCCATATTGCTCTGCATCTCAATGGTTTTATCAAGTCTTGTACCACATTTGAAGCAGAACATTCCAGTTTTCTTTCAAAACAGACTAGTTTGCTGCTCTGAACAAAGCCAACACAGTTCACAGAAATCAGAAATCACAGAAACATGGGAACTGCATTAAAAGCTACGAAACTGCTCCAAATCAATGAACTCTTATAGACCTGCAAACAGACACTCAGTAAGGATGCACAAAGAGAAAACACATCGGTTCCCTGCAAACTCCCACTGCTGTGGTTAATTAGCCTCACCTTTCCTAATTTCTGTCTTCACAGCAAATTTATCTCATTTCAGCTTCCAGTTACAGAACTTAATTGGTCTTGCTGCATACTGACACACTGCCATTTTTGTTCTTCATATAACTTCATGTAAGATCTACTGAGGGATAGCACTACAATGAAATACAAAGTATATAAAAAATATCCACTTTTCCCACATCCTCCCCCTTTTCAGGGGATCTGAAGCAATATTTTTGACTTAAAAGGTGTTCTTACAGTCATTAAAGCAACACGTCTTATGACTAGCAGTACAAGAAGTACATATAAAAATATATTCTAAACTAGTACTACTTGCAAACAAAATTCCTACACAGAAATGTTCACAACTGAAGGCAGCTGAACCTAAACATTTCCATTTATTAACTTGTATCTTTCAAAAATCTTTGAAAAAAGAGCATTTAAAAAAGCAAAAACAAAAAGAAAAAACAAAGGAAGATCAAGCAAGGCTTATCACATAGCATTTTAAATGATCTTGCAGTAAGGAGGCATTAATTTATGGCTTATGACTCATGTTTACAGCACTGCATTGAGATCACCTTTTGATTAAGGTACTGGATTAGGTTACCGGAAGCTGAATTTTTATACTCTGTATTGCATTTGTCTTTACAAGTTTTGATCAGCTGATCTTTTGATTTATTTATTTTTTTTTTTTGGAACCAAATGTAAGGAGACTGAAGTTTCGAAAGTACTGAGAGAGTTACAGATACAGCCATCTCCCACTGAAGATATTCCCTTGTACCTCACATTCTCCATTTTTAGAGCACATACAGTACTTCTTCCTACTCTTCACAAGATGAAGAAATTTAAATAGATTAATCGCAGTCATTACAGCATTTAGCACAGCGATCCTTTGTTGCCATCCACAATAACTCTGCAGTAAAGGCCAAACTTCCTTATTCTTGCTGTACAAGGCATGAGAAATCTGTGAGAAACACTAACTTGCTCTGATTCTAGAAGAGAAAATATTCTAGCTTATCTTCAGACCATAGAGACCCTTCTTCAGAGAAGGAGGTTGGAAAATGGTTTTATTTTTGACAGTAGGTAAAAGTAGATGCTTAGGAAACAAAAAATATGGCAAGGAATACTTCATGCAAACACAGAATCACCAGGGTGATTCAATCATAGAATGGCCAGGGTTGGAAAGGACCTCAAGGATCATCAAGCTCCAACCCACCTGCCTCAGGCAGGGCCACCAATCTCCACATGTAATACTAGACCAGGCTGCCCAGGGCCCCATCCAACCTGGCCTTGAACACCTCCAGGGATGGGGCATCCACAGCCTCTCTGAGCAGCCTGTTCCAGCACCTCACCACTCTCTCTCTGCAAAGAGCTTCCCCTCAATATCCAGCCCAAATCTTCCCTCTCTCAACATAATGGCAGGACAAGGGGAAATGGTTTTATCTGCCTTTGTAAAGAGTTGACTCCCCTCCTATTTGTAGGCTCCCTTTAGGAACTGGAAGGCTGCAATGAGGTCATCTTACTCTTAATTACATGCTTGGCTCCAAGAGTAACTATAACCTAACCTCCCCATAGGGCTGAATGATCAACCCCATCAACTTATCCTTGTGGGGCAGTTTTGCTCTTTGACAAAGTACATCAGTATTATGACAGAGTCTTTTGACATTAAAAGTGGTATGCTGCTATTCATCAACTGCCATAACTCCATTAATTTGTTGTTTTTTTTTTTTTTTTTTTTTTTTTTTACCATGTACAAACTTTCAATATCTGTGACATCAAGAAAAAAGGAATTTTAGTTTAATCAGTATGTTATGTGGACAATCTCTGATTTGTTCTAAACCAATGAACTGCAACTTCCACTCAATAGTGTGACAATAGTGACAATAGTGTGACAATAGCCTCAATAGTGACACAATATATTCTTATTCACTTTGGTGTCAAAAAACAAAGTAAGCTCACCTAGTGCTGACACCAGAGAAAAAAATCTCAGTTCACAGCTATAAAATAAAATAAAATAAAATAGGATTAGAAAGTTTTCAGCTATACTACAGCAAACAAGATAACTAAGCTTATTTGGAATGCTGTGAAAAAATAAATCTAAAATGTGATTGAAGGTATTATAACTTTAGCTTAAAAAAAAACAAAAAACAAACAAAAAAACCTGTGAAGATAAAGGGAAATTTCTACTCTTAATGTTCTCATAGGATATTTTAACTTACCTGCAATGAAACAAGGGCGTTTTAACCAGTCTGAAGGGTACTCTGCATAGGTGCTTAAGCTTCGGCCTTGCAGATATCCATTGTATATACAGAAGAGAAGTGCTAGTAGGAAGGTGAAAAATGGTGTTGGCTTTCCTTGCCGGATCAGAAAAGGAAATATGAGTGCCCTATAACAAACAAGGAAAGAAAATCTGTTGCATAAATAAACATAAAGGATGCTTTCAGTGTCCAGACTTGCAATCCATAAACCATATCCTGCTTGCTAATTTCTCAGCAGTCTTTGATCTCAGTTCAGGTGGAAAGTTACACTTGTTTTAGCACCTAAATATTCAATTTGTTGTCTAACAAGCATTATGAGACCAGTCCTCCCCCAGCTGCTTACAGCAGAAATTTTGAGCGTTGTATTCAAAGCAATTACTCTGATTGGAGTGGCAAAGACAAATGATGTTCAACACAACATAATGTTCTCCTGCTTTATTCCTCAACCTTAAGTGGCATAATCAAGCATTCTGAAATGAACCCGGTCTCATAAACCCTACATGCAAAGCCTATCAGGATTTTCAGGTGACAACATCAATGTGAAAGGCATTGTGGTAGATGATAATACTTTACCTAACCAAGATATCTCGCAACAAACAGCTCTGTCATCCTTATCTGTATGGAATAAGGCACCATACAGTGAGTAAGATACTAAGAAAATGGACAAGTGAATTACAAACTGCTGAGCTGAAACATCAGAACAAATCAAAACAATAATTACAGCTAGACCAGACAACACACCAACAAGCGTAGGGGCACACCTGTGTACTTTTACACACTGTAGGCACTTCTGCAGGGAAGCCAGAGCACAGGACAACTGGTGAATCACCTGCTTAGCTTCTCAGGTTATACTATTGCTTCATTGTAAAATGTGATAATCTAGCACGTGTTTTGACAGCTTCTCTATCTATATGGCCTATGAAACCATTCACAGAAGATGGATTATCAAGTGTGGAATATTTATGGTTTTGAAAGAAAAGAGAAAGAGAAACCCGTTGAAAGTAACTTAATAGAGCTCTCTTGCCTCCTGGCCCTAGAAGTCACTTGAAATATATTAATTGCTTCACTCTGACAGTCTCAGTATGCCCCAAGAAAACTGTTGCAGAAATGACAAATCCACAGCTGTCATTCCATTTGGGCAAGAAATCCCAATGGCTCTTCCTGGAGGATTAAATGAGCAAACAAACAAACTCCAGAGAAGAAAAGCAAGTGAATGTTTACGTGCTCTACCCTGTACAGCGAGCCAACTCCTGATCACGTATTGATTTAATTGGGATCTATAACAATACAGGACTGGGATCACAGAAGTGTGAATGTTCTTCAGGCGTCTGCCAGCTACTTGAGGACTCCTGTCTCAAAGCATCAGTAGAGTGACAGCCATTAAGGCTGGACAAGCCCACGAAGATCATCCAGTCCAACTGCCAGCCCATCCTCACCATGTCCTCAGTGCCACATCCACACATTCCTTCAGCACTTCCAGAGACAGCAACTCCTCCATCCCCCCGGGCAGCCTGTGCCATCGCCTCACTGCTCTGAGAAGAAATTTGCCCTAACAACCAACCTGAACCTCCCCTGTTGCAACTTGAAGCCATTCCCTCTCATCCTATCGCCAGTTACTTACAGAAGAAGCAAAACTCTAGACGTTTGAAAGAAAAAGCATAATGAATTCATTAATTGACCTGATTATGCCGAGTCTACCACATTACGACAAACCGAAGCCGACGAGAGCTATCTCTCAGTACGCCACCACTAGCGAAACAGTCCCACCGGCATTATGCAATCAGAAAAACGATATTGCCACACAACATCTGCCTGCTGATTCCAGCTTTCCTATACAGTAACGATACGCCGAGATCCCATTCCAAAGCCATTCATGCTTTTACGAAGGGAGGGACGGGAAGCGGAGGCGCAGTCCCGTTCGCAGAGCCACCACGTCAACCCCACGGCACGGCTCAAGCTCGCAGCGCCGGCAAAACTGCCAGCCCAGCACAACAGCTGTAAGCAGGACTGCGCCGAAAGCCCTTATCGTATCGCTGCCCCGTTCCATACCGCCGAGATCCGACAGCGCGCGGCACCCCGGAGCGCCGCCCCGACCGCCCGCACCTGTGCACGTAGTGCAGGATGAAGCAGCTCAGCAGGATGGCGTTGGGCAGCCGCCAGGCGGGGATGCAGGCGGCCAGAGCGAGCGGGACGAGGAGCGCGGGCAGCTCCTGCAGCAGCCAGGCAGGCCGGGCAGGCAGCAGCCAGCCGAAGCGCCGCGACGAGTAGCGCCCGTAGGGCATGGGGATGAATCGCAACAGCAGCGCCGAGACAGCGCCCAGCGCCACCAGCCCGTAGGAGAGCAGCTCCAGCAGGCGCTGCTCCCGCGGGCCCGCTGCCCGCTGCCAAAACGCGCAGAACGCGCCGCCGCCTGCCATGTCGCGCTGCGCCCGATCCAGCCGAGACGTCCCGAGGCGCCTCCATCCATCGGGCAGACCGCGGCACGCCCATCGACGTCGCGGGCCAATCGGCGCAGAGGAGCGGAGCCTCACACCTCACGCCTCCCGCCGGCCGTGGGTTGGTGGAGGAGCTGGGGGGCGGGGCAGGTGGCGCGGCGGTTCCCATGAGCGGAAATGGGCCGGCGGTAGCGCAGCCCGGAAGGAGCGGTAGGGACGGGCTGGCGCACGCGCGGTGCTGGCGGGCGCGCGTGGACGTGAGGCGCGTGGTGCGGTCGGTGCCTCGTAGAGTCGCTAAGAGAGACTGGAGCTGCCGCACCGACGGCGGGGGTCGGCAGGCGCCTGCTCGCTATGGGCCGCCGGGCGCGGGATCGCCGGCGGCAGCTGCTGCCGCAGCAGCGCCGGGAGCGGAGCGGCGGCGGCGACGACCAAGCGGTGAGAGGCGGGGCGGGAGCGGAATGGGCCGCGGCGGGGCCGGCGTACTGACGGGGCCGCGCTGGTTGTAGGGCTGGACCGGCGGCTACCCTGAGATCGTGAAGGAGAACGAGCTGTTCGAGCGGTACTACCGGGAGCAGCGCATCGTGCCCGACGGCGAGTGGGACGCCTTCATGGCGGCGCTGCGGGAACCGCTGCCCGCCACGCTGCGCATCACCGGCTATAAGAGGTGAGCGGGGCCGGGGGAGGGCCGGGATGCGCCGGGAGCGGCCGTTGAGACACCGCGCCGTGCCTTGCAGCCACGCCAGGGAGATCCTGCACTGTCTGAAGGAGAAGTACTTCCGGGAGCTGCAGCACCTGGAGGTCGACGGACAGAAGGTGGAAATGCCGCAGGCGCTGAGCTGGTAAGCCCGCTGTTGGTGTGAGGCACCCCTCAGGCCCTCTGCAACCGCTGTGCCAGACTGGTCTGTAACCTTTTGCCTTCGGTTTCCCCGTCCCTTCTGCAGGTATCCGGAGGAGTTAGCGTGGCACACCAACCTGAGTAGAAAAATCTTGCGTAAGTCACCGCAGCTGGAGAGGTTTCATCAGTTTCTGGTTAGCGAGACAGAGTGTGTAAGTTCAGACCTTGGTACTTCTTTTGCACTCTGGGCAGATCTTTATTTCAGTGCAGTGTCAGAAATTGCAGTGATACCCGTCAGAAACTGACTAGCTCAGAAAAAGTGGGATCTTGTGTTGCTGTTGACAGCAATTCATCCTGTACCTCTGCTATGTCCCTACAGTTATGAATTTTTCTCCTGAGCTAGCAACCATATTGTTGGTTTGGGAATGTGAGAACTCATGCTTCCGAAATACAATTGAGTGAGAAGGGACCCTAAAATGTCCAACTCCCTTGCAGTAAAACAGGGATACCCACAGCTGGGTCAAATTGCTCAGGGCCCTGTCTAGCCTGACCTTGAATGTCTTCAGGAAAGGTGCTTTGGCCACCTTTCTGGGAATCCAGTACTATTGCCTCACTAAAAAGCTTTTTTTTTTTTTTTTAATATCCAATCTAATTCTCCCATCTTCCAGTTTGAAATCATTTCTTTTTGTTCTGTCCCAACAGACCGTGCTAAAAAGTCTGTTCCCTTTTTTTTTTTATGGCTACCCTTTACATACTGAGGTCCTTCCCTAGACCCTTTTCCGAGGTGAACACCCCCAGCTTATAACTACTGGTTGTTTAACAGGCAGGTGTTTGAGTATGGTAAATGCTGTGTGTGTGTATTACAAAAAGTTCCCCTTAGTGATGGGTGTTTCTCACTTTTACTTGGTTGAAGTAAATTTCTGATTTCATCTGAGCAGAAATTAGATCTGTAGAGTTAATGCAGATGGAGTAAATCTGAAGTTCTCAGAAACTTCATCTTGATGAGATACTACTTATGTGCTAAAATTTAACCCTGAGTTTGTAAGCCAAGTTTGTGTTTTTGACTGTTGCATTATTTTAGTTCCCAGAGTTTTAAAAAATCTGTCACAAAAGAAATGCTTTCTCCTGTTAAATGATTTTATTTTTTTCTCCTTTTAAGGGAAACATCAGTCGTCAGGAGGCTGTTAGCATGATCCCACCTCTGCTGCTTAACGTTAACCCTGATCACAAGGTAACTAAAAAACACAATGTGGCATCTTCATAGAATATTGCTTCATAAGCTGGAAACTACAGTGGCAGCGTTGATGTTCTGTGCTGGCAAAATCAGGCTGCTCAGGGTCCTGTGCAGCCTGGATGTGAATGCCTTTAGGGATGGGGCATTTGCAGCCTCTCAGGGCAACCTGTGCAAGTGCCTCACCACCCTCCAGGTAAAGAACTTACGTTTGTTTTAGCCCCTTGAGTTAAAACTGCATTCCTTGGTGAATTAGTTTTGTGTTTTTTCTTGATGATCAGTGTCCTCAGTGGTTATAATTATTCTGTTTAAAAAACAACACAGTAAGTTTTTTCAAGCGCATAGCTTGCTTGTTTTGTTTTGTTGTTGTTTTTTTAACCATTTGTGTTTCTAGATTCTAGATATGTGTGCTGCACCTGGATCTAAGACTGCTCAACTCATTGAAATGTTGCATGCAGACATGAATGTTCCTTTTCCCAGTAAGTTTGGACAAACTATCAAAAACCTTTGGGGCTTCAAATTTTCATTTTGTTTTCTTGTAGATTACCTTTAATATCCCAGAAAGCAACTGCATTTACCTACCTACTAAATTCCGTAGTTTGTTGATTGTATGAGATTGGAAGGACCTATGTCTTGTCCTTGAAACTTCTGTGGGCTTCTTCGGCTTGAAGGAGAGAGATGCATTGGTTATCTTCACAGTCCAGACTGTAGTAGATGTGATCACAGCTTAATTTTTATACATAAGAAGTGTATTTAGCAGGTGGTATCTTATCTGCCTCTGTGTTTTAGTGGCTTCCTGCAAACGCTTGGCTTAAGTTGCTTCAGGCTTAAACTTCCAAATGCTTACGTTTAGTTAAATGCTCACAGAAAATACTGTCCATAGAACTGGTGAGCTTGGGGATGGGTTCTTTCTGCATTACACATCTGATGCACAGAGGTTGTCTTCAGTGGCAGTGAAGGCTTTATCTCTGTTCCAGGGGTTTTACTCAGAGAATGAAAAGTGGAAGGAACTCTATCTGTATCTTTTCAGCTGCATTGAAGTTAGAAAATTTGAGTGTCTTGGTCATAGTTATTAAACCTCACCATGTTTAATTTACTTTCAGGAGAGTGTCCTCTGTTCATAAGTAGTTTCCTAAATAAAAATATCTGGTAAAAGATTTATGTGAATGTGAAGATGAGCAATAAGCTGTAAATTATTAAATTGTTAAATAGTAAAGCTGCTTTCTACTGCTTTATGTTCACAGAGGGTTTTGTAATTGCTAATGATGTTGACAACAAGCGCTGCTACTTGCTGGTTCATCAGGCTAAAAGATTAAACAGTCCATGTATCATGGTGGTAAATCACGATGCCTCCAGTATCCCTAATCTACAAATAGATGTGGATGGAAGAAAAGAGATCCTCTTCTATGACAGGATTTTGTGTGATGTCCCCTGCAGGTATCTTCTATGTACTAGAATTTTTGTGTTACCGAGAGTGTTATCCTGCTTACTAAATTCCAAAAGAGCTGGATCTCTTAAACTGTCTTAGGTAAGGGAATATCAGATCAAGGAGACCTTTTCTCATTCCACGTGATACTTAAATGTGGTTACCGAACAACAAAGATAGTGTAGAATTGAAAGTACTGCAAAAGGGAATTAGTTACCATGGAGAGGAGTGTTAACTTTTCAACTGTAAGTCCTTTGGGTATGGAAGAAATTTTACCCACAAGTAATATATACATGTTCAACTTCATTTCTAGTGGAGATGGAACCATGAGGAAAAACATTGATGTATGGAAGAAGTGGACAACACAAAACAGTTTGCAGCTCCATGGGTAAAAGTGTTTATTGTACATCTGTCTGTCTTTCATTTCTACTCTTCCTTTTCTCCCTTCGATTTAATACTTGTGTGAATTTGTATGTTAACATATGACAAAGGGTTTTTAGTTTTCATCAAATCAAGAGTTCGTACGTTATTCTGAGAAAGTTCTAGTATCTCAAATGTGAGGCCAACCTCCAGTGAAGTGTGTGAATCTAAATCTCTTGTATTTATGTGAATATATGACACATTCACTGGACTAATTTCTACAGAGTAGATAACAAAGTAGGGAACAGATCAGTTGAATGGGATTCATGATGTTTAGGCAGGGGAAATACTGTTAGAAAATAACTGATGTAATCACAGAAGCTCATAAAACTTAATAGTGATGTTATAAAATCTTTTAAAATCTTAGCTCTTACATGGTTTCAGTTAGCTAAGACCAAGTTATGTTAAACGAAGGTGAATACAGGTGCATGGTAGAAAGCATTAATTAAAAGACAGCTGAAAAACTGAGAATGTTTTATTTGTATTTGTTGCAAGCCGAGAGAGCAGTCGACTAGAGTGACTCAGGTGACCTGTGATGAGGTGTTACTGCTTAGTGACTCATTTGTAATTACAGGGTTTGTTTTAGTTGTAACTATGCAGCAAGGGCCATGAGGTGGTTGTCCAGCTCAGTGATGCTTTTTACTGAAGTAAGGGCCAATATTAGCTAAACTCTGTTGTCTTCAGTACTTGGAACAGTCAGATTATGCTTCATTTTAAATTCTAGATTTGAGAAGATAAGGGCTTGGGTGGTTATTTTTCTAGTGTTGTATGCTGTATAATAGATTTGATGGAGCACTAGATGGAACCAATAACAGAATGTCATGTTAAAGCCTACCATGCATTAGTGCTAATGTTTGACCTGATTGCTCTTCTAACAGGTGTAATTGTGTGTGTGTTTGCAGCATGGAGATAGCTGACAGTTTAAAACTGATTTTAGTTGGTATACTGCTGACAGCTGTTGAGCTTGGCATGTGCTGATTTTGCAGTCCATGGAGATTTGTGTGTCTGTAGTGTAACTTCAACTGTAGCAGATCTAATGATAAATGTTTCTGGTTCTTGAATGATACTTCATTAGACCACGGTTGTTCTTTTAGATTGCAACTAAGAATTGCAACTCGTGGTGTTGAACAGCTGGCAGAAGGTGGGAGAATGGTATATTCTACGTGTTCATTGAATCCTATTGAAAATGAAGCTGTGATTGCATCTCTGCTGGAAAAGAGTCAAGGTGAGATAAAAAGTAACATTTTTCCTACTGTTCAACTGGAAAAAAAATGTGGATGATAGTACTAGTAATAAGTTTAGTGTAGTTAATGTGCTCCTGGTTTGTGAAACAGCAGCATTTTTTTTGTTAGAATTCATTGTGTTTGATATGAGCAGCCTTCCTGAAAGAGAGTAAATCAGCTGCCAATATAAAACCTGAGGAAGTTTTTTTAATGAT